ATATATATATATATATACCCATCAGAGGGTAGTGGTTGAAGGAAAGGCTGGCGTTTTGATGGTGCCAAACAGTGGCAAGTAAGACCAGCTGCAGCAGCACCAGGACACTTGAACCTTGAAGCACTGTAATATAGCGACAGACATTGTATGTCTGCCAAGGCTGAGCTGAGCTGCGTCCAATATTATAGAGGGGCGTTTTTATTCCAATTTAAAATTTAAATGACTGCTGCCTGACCTGTAAAAATAGTTGACAGTGAGAATTGATCCAAGATGCTATAATGATCCCCTGGGGAGCAATTTAGCATTCAAATCTTCTGCATTCATTGGAAAGGTCAGAGGTCATGGTCTACTACATGATGTCTCCTTGCACTCACAGAAAGAAGACTTTGGGTTACAGAGCCTTTTCTTGAATTACTTTACTGTTCTTCATGAATTCAAATTAAACTGGCATCACACAAGACATCTGGTATGATAAATGTTGAAGAGCTACTTAAACAAATAACAGCATATTAGCAAATTGCTGACGGTAATCAAATAATTCACTGAATAGCACTTGAGTGCTTGCATTAAATTTCCAGCTACTCCAACACCTCCAGATGTAAGACAAATATGCTATTCTTTTTCTTTCCTCTCTTCTCTCTTTACTGTGTCACCTGCACATAGTCACACAGCTGAGATGGCTGAGAAAGAGTTTTGGACCAACCTGACAGGGGATGAGTCACTGGAGGCAGAGGACGTGGGTTGAGGACTTGATGGGGCTGAGAACATCGGCCAGGAGGGAGAACGTGGTGAGGTGGGGCTGGGAGACGTTGCACTGATGGAAACACACACATAAAATGTGCAATTTATAGCATTGGCAGTGTTATACAGATTAAAATATATTTGTAATGTACATATGCACACAGTTCTGGACATTAACCTACGGCCAGTGTGACATTGTTAAGACATGTTTACCGTACCTGGTTGGTATGCTGCTGCGACTCTTTGGGTTCAACCTAGAAACACAAGATGAAATAAAAACCAAGATGAAGTAATCAGTGTGGTTAAGTACTGAAGTGTTTCTGGACTTGTGAAAACAAAGGAAAGCTATTTTAACTAACCTGATACTAATTTAGACATTATCCCTCAGGAGAGATCATGTTACTGAGGGGTTTTCCTTTCTCACTGAGGTCTATTAGCCTAGCTTAGCTCTCCAGCACACAAGGAACAAATGACAAGTATGCAGATTAGACCTCCCAGCTGGTTTGGCAAAAAAAAATGTAAAAACAAAACCTGAATCATTTAGCTGCAAGGAGAAACTGACTCCTTAATAGGTCTCAATGGGTGGTGTGAGTCACTTCATGTGCTCCAGCACTGACTAAAATAACAACCTCAGATAAAGGCTATCGTGAAGGCCATGATGAATAAATCAGAACATTCTTTTTAACTTGCAAAGTCAAATTGAAAGATGTATCTGTCTTCACTGTGGATACACTTGGCCCCGTCATGATTCCGGTACCTAGTCGATATAATAACAAACTTTTTCTATTTAACAGTCAACATTGACAGGACTGACTAATTAATATTTAAATTTGGTTCATCTACTGACTGTAATAATACATAGTTGTAGTGCGGCCCTTCTAAGCTGTGTCTATCCATAGTTATCTAATCTAATTTAAAATGGTCAGTCGACTAAAATATAATTCATCCTTCTGTCTAACCAAGCTGTGTGCCTTCAGCAATCCATTTGTCATTTCATCCATCTAATCTCATGCTGCAAGATGCACACACACACACACACACACCAATCATGTTACTTATTCAAGTCTCAGTTTCTCTCTCAGTAATGACACGCAGGCTGATATCCATCACAGGCTGGATGATGGTTGAGAATGAGAAAAGGTGAAAAAGACAGACAGAAAGGCGTCTTGGAGATTGGAAACAGTGAGGGGAAAGAAAAGAGAAAGAGGCAAAAGTAAGTCCAGGTTTTGCAACAAGCTTTGAGAACATTTTATTTTAAGTGATTAACATATACGTAGATAATTACGCAGCCATCGCAGACAAATCTGTCATACACAAGGCCAGCAGAGTTATGAGGAAACAGAACGCCCACCACTTTGCAATTTCAAGCAGCAGCATTGACAAAACTCAGCTTATGTTTCACGCTCAAAGAGGAGTTTTTCTGCTGTCTCTGCTTCTCCATTTTTTCATTGCACGGACCAATATGAACTGAAATAATAGTGAAAAGGCCTTAAAAGGCCAGATTGTACAAGCATGTTTTAGCTTAAATGTTCAGTATTCAGTATAACGTTCATCTATAGAAGCAGCCACTTGCCTGATATTAATAACCTTTAATGGGATACACAGATAACCTTATATAAGAAATCTCAATTGTAGACCTTCCTGTTCATTTACTCAAGACCAAAGACAATATGTCTTGATTGTCTTAAGGCTTCAAAACCTCTTCTTGAGCCATTTTCTCCTGATTTGTTCACCAAGGGGGTGTAAAATGTGAAACCAGCGGGGCTCCTACCTTTGCACATATTTAACTTGTTAGGCCATGTTTAAAACCTTGGCAATGCATCAAGAAGCATATCACATTGACCTCAGTAAAGGAGATGCACATTCCTACTGTGTATGCATATGATTAGCAAAGGCCAGTGTCGGAAGTTCACCTTATATTCACTGTTTTGTTTTTGTTTTGTTTTTTTACAGCACCTACAGTAGGTGAATCACAGCATTAGTGCTTTTTGTTCTCTTTTCTACCGCTCTGCACATAACATCAACTCACTCAGAGCAGGGCCCTTTTTTTAAATAGCATAAGCAATTTTGCTTTTTTTAAATTATGTGAAATGTGGTTGCCATAGTGACACTGCTTTATGCTAAGGCAAGATTTGGTATAATCATTGTCTGTCTCTCTTTAGGAACAAACATATGATCCACTTCAATATCCACCGCACTCATTCAATAACACAAAGACGAGAAGTGATAAATGTATCTTCTGCTTGATGTAAGAAGTACGTCTGCTGATGCCAATAATGCTCTCCAGCTGACAATATTGGCTTTAACTCTGCAGTGGGATCGCATGTTGCCAAGTGACAAATATAGACAGAGCGGTGGATTTGAGGTGGAAAGTTCATTCTTAACCTTGGAAACAAGTTCACCACTCACGGTTGCTGTTATGGATCTTTCCAAGTAAAATTCTTTCGATTCAGTGATAATACAACTAGCAAAACGTTGTGGCTGTGTTCCTTATTTATTTTTTTAACTGTACGTTTGACAGTTTGTCTCGACAATCCACCTTCTCTCCCAATTTGTCACTCACTGCTCTCTCTCATCTGCTTCCTCTGTTTCAATTGTTTGGTATCCTATCTAGCCCATTCCAAGCCGTTCTCCTTCCATACCTCCCTCCCTTCAGCAGAGCTACTGGAAGAGACGAGGAGTTATGATTTACAGCAGACAATCAAGATATTGTGACAGAGTATATAAATCAATAGTGTTTCTCTCTTCTGCTTTTTCCCCTTTCTCAGAGAAGACTTCACATTTGACGGCAAACTGCACGGAAAATGATGAATATTACAGGTTACAAAGTAAAGCAAATTGTTTTAGATGAATGTACTCTCCCCATTAGACTTACAGCACATTTGACAGCTGATTTGATTAAACTGATGTCTTGTCTCTCCCTCCTCCACCTTACAGGCCGTCATTTCAAGACATGAAATGTGTGCCTACAGTATAATGACTGCATGTATCGAACGATAGAGCATTAATGAACATTTTGATTACTATAATCTGCTTACATAAATAATTATAAAAGTTGTTTTTGTTTTAAAAGCTGCAATTCTTATCCTTAACTTGGTCAGAGTGACGGATCACATCTGTTTTTACAGTGAGAAATGCCATGTATTTTTAAAGGTGACAAATACTGTTTAGGCTTTTAACCTTGGAAAGATCTCTTAAGTTGGAATGTATCGTCTTCTGCTTAAAGGCCGTCCACAAAATAAACCAGCATGACCTGTAAATATTGGGTTTGGACCACAGAATAAACACAAGGGTGCAAAAAGCTCCCAGAAGGTGTCAATGAGCAACATTAGTTTTTGCAATGAGGACAAGATCTTTTCACTGTGCATACACAAATGATGAAGTGACTATATGATGCCTTGTCGCATTACAAAGCACTGAAACATCTCATCTTTTTATGTACTGTACAAGCAAAGACACAAATACAATTATTTATTTACTTACCTCAACAGCCGATTTGTTTGCCATTTTACTCCTCCTCCCATGTAGTGCAAACTCAAACCGACCTCAATGTTAACCTGTTGTCTTGATAATTTCATGTTCACCAATTAATTCTAGTGCTTTCACTTTTCCAGAAGATTTTTTTTTACATTAAATGTCTTTCAGCCTTCTAATTATTGGTAGGCTGAAACGGCTCTGTTGTACTGATTCAACTAGTGTTGTGGAAACAGTTTTACACTTTTTCAGTTGGAATAATAAGGCTTACTCACTTATTGATTTATTTATCTGCTTATGGATTATGACTGCAGCTTGTTGTTGGTCAACATTACAGAAACGTATAAGTGATAATATATTTCTATTTACAGTGGAGGATACCTAGGGAAAACTAAAAAATATTCTGTGTTATCAGGGTTGCAGCTTTAAAACTGATTTCAAAACTTAAGTTAAGTCCCACATGAGCGACTGCCAGTGCTCACTGTAATATCTGAAGATCTAGCGTGAGAGAGAGATGGATTCTGTATGCTGAAGGCCAAAAAAAGAGGAAAGAATATTGTGGTAAAGGCATCAGAACCAGACACATGTAACCTGGTGACTGAAGCTGCATGTGTGTGAGTGTGTGTGT